ACACTATTAGCTCTCTGCTTGCCTAGGGAGAACTCTTACAGCTGGAATAATCAATCTGCAGCATTCGTATCGGAAGCCCAGCAAGATATTTACAGTGAGACGAGACACCAACAACATGTACAAAGCACAATGGTTTGTACCTTGTGCCTACTACACTTCAATGAACTCAGGCCACCAGAGGAATAATGACCACCAGGCTGAGCTGATGCCTGTTTTCACCCTTAAAAAGTGTTTCTCAAACACTCAGAAACTGGACTGGCCAGTTTCAGCACATACTTTATAGATTAGCAATACAGAAAACCTTCCATTGGGTTTCACAATTAATCCATATTACTAAAACAAGGAAGAATATTATCTAAGCATGGTATCTGCACCAGGATCAATAAAAACTCATTACAGCAACATCAATACTGTTCTCCTGCAATGCCCTGTGAGATGTTTTTCTACATGTGCATTCTGCTCTCATCTTACTGACAGCTCCGATTAGATCCTGGAAAATCTGCTAGGCTTTGTTACTAAAGCCTATGGAAGGTTTCCATGAGGATCTTCAGCAGGGAGGCATATTCTACTGTTCTGCCTCTATACCCAGTTTCTCCTTTTTTAACCCCCTTTGAGCTGAAACAGCTTTCTCTACATTGACTGAAACAGCAGGTAAATGAGCATCACTGACCTACACACAAGAGGTTAGTAAAATTCAAAGAAACAATGTTCAATTACATGTGGGATGCAGATGAAAATGGAACACTAAACTGAAATGGAATTTCTTTTTTCAAATCCTTCACAAACCTCTACTCCCAACTGAATTCTTAACGGTTTCTTAACCCAAAAGTCCTCTCACTTCAGCACTGTTCCAGCACTGTAGGCAGAAGAGTGTTTGGAAGTACTTCAAAACCCACACCAGTTACTTAAATTAAAAAAGCAAATACGACCATAAAAATACCTCCTCTGTGTTGACATGAAAGAACAGGCTTAAAGCAGCCCAGGTAAGCATTCAAATGCTGAAAGATCTCACTAGGAAATAATTTACACAATCTGTTTACCAAGACAGGGCTCTGGACAGGGAAGCCCAAAGCTGTGCTAGGCTTGCCAGAGCAGTGAAAGTGTAAACTGAAATCCTTTAACACAGATCATGTCTAACAGACTAATATTTCTGCTCAGCAGAATTTGTTATTGACCCCTCTGAGACTGCAATGTTTTAGCACAAGATAGGCCCAAGCCAAAAGAGAAAAACTTTTCTACAAATATGTCCAATTTTGGCTTTTGTAATGCCATGTGTCACAAAGTTGTTTACACTTCTCCATAGCATCAAAGTACACTCAACTGAACACCATAAAATGAGTTAGAGCTAGCCTAAAAAGTAGCTACTGTGCTGAGATACTCACTGCCTTTAAGAGAACTGAACTCTCCTACCTTTTCTATCAAGCTTATCTTATATCTTTGCTTGCCATGTTAACCACAGCTCTACAGACAGATTTCTCTCTGCATTTCAGAGACTGGTTAAGTCCACAGGAAGTTTCAACCTGGACATGAGGAAAAACTACTTTATTCTGAGTGTGATAGAGCACTGGAAGAGGCTGCCCAGGGGGGTTGTGGAGTTTCATCCTCTGGGAATATGCAAAACCCACCTGGACATGATCCTCTGTGACCTGCTGTAGGTAAACCTGCTTTAACAGGGGGTTGGACTAGATCTCCAGAGGTCACTTCCAATCCCCGCCATTCTGTGATTCTTCACGTAACTAAACAAACTATGCTATACACTAACATCTGTCTTTCTACCTAGTGACTCTCTGCTGATAAGGAAAAGCTGCATTTGTCTTCAGGCATTAAATTCAACTGTGAATTTCATTAGCGACCTACTGTAACTCGAAACTTTCTGATCCAGTATTTTTAAACAGAAGCACATCACTTCATCGTACTTTGAGATAGCCCTCATTCCCATTTTGAAGATCCAGGGCACAGTGCAGTCCAGGCACCAAATCAATTATGAAAATGTATCGCACAACTTCCCAAAAAACTACAATAAACTTGCCACTGGATGTAACCTTCCTCTTTATAGCTACTGTGAACCAGCTGATAGCCTGGTGCAGGATAAAATCATTCACTAATTTTAAGAACACGTTGGAAAATTGAAATTTTAATTTATTAGCTCAAACAAATCCATTAAAGGTCTTGTGACAGTTATCAACAGCATCCCTCAAAGCCATTTGTATTAAGCTGTACCACTGGGAGTAAAGACCTGTTCCTGTCACTTCAAATTAACATCAGTAAAGCAACTTGTCCCATTTGCCTTTCCCAGACACGAAGCACAGCATCCCATTTGTCTGTTACACCCCTCCCTACTTCTCCAATATTTAACACCTCTAGCTCCTTTACCAAGTCTTAAACTCAGCCTGCTCCTCACCTGTCCATTTAAAACCTAAAAAAACCCAAGATGAGTGTCCAGACACAGGAATCAGCCAGCATTTTCATTAGCAAAAAGAAGAAATACTAAAAATAAAATACATAGAAGACTATTTAAGGAAGTGTGGTTTGGTTTTGTAGGCAGTTTCAAATCTGCTAACATTTTCTACAAAGAATCAACAAATATGGATTAAGCAGTCTACTTCATATACAACAGATTATTCCAAAACAACAAATTAGTAGATTAAAGGGAAAAGGACTGGCTAAGGTAAGTAGCAGGTAGTCAGTTTTTAGAGTGAAGGAGGCTACCATAAATTACCATAATATCTATTATGTTCAACATTGATAAAGTTCTTCAGGTTAGCAAGGCAACAATGCCAAGATTATGAAGCTATTCAAGAAGTCAAAAGCAAGTCTGACTATGAAGACCAGAAGTGTCTTATAATACTGAAATTTCACCTCCCGTTTTACTGCCCATTTGTTATCCATGCATGCACTGCGCTAAGCAGAGGGGAAAACCCTGAATAAGGACAGGCCATGATGCCCACCAAACCAGTTATCACTGGTGATGAGCGATCATCAAGTCATTGTCATTACTACACTGAGAACAGGGCAGTGCTTAAAAGATGTTAGAACAAAGCCAATCTTAGAAAGGATCAGGAACAAGCAGAAAACATTCTGCTGTTACCAGCCATGCAATGTCTGCTACATGACTGGTAAGAGCGGCAACAAGCAGCCTATCTGAAAAAGGATATTTGTGAACCAGAAACCACAGAAAAGGGCAATGAGGATGAAAAAGATCTGAAATAGCTTGGATTCCAAAAAAGTAAACACAGAAAAAGCACATCTGGGAACACAGTACTCAAGGCAAGTTATGAGTTAATGCCATACCCAAAGCTAAAAGCCAGCTTAAATTTTACAGCAGACCAGAGAGCTCAAAATTATGAATTTGTCAGAACTGGACAGAGTCTCCAACTTACTGTATTTGACAGATTTGAGATAGACACAGATTACCAGCGTCCACACCACTATTACCATTTATAAGCACAAGTGGTTAGTAATCTTTTAATCAAGTCTAATTTTTCGTTGCTGCAAGCACAGTTGTCCTTATGTGCTACAAACAACTGCAGAGTTGCATAGTACATACACAGAAGGGAAAATTTTCACTTAGCTGTTCAGGTACTTTAAAATACTGAAAGGTGTAAAAGACATCTGAAGGGTACCACGTTTTTAATATAAAACCATACAATTGTTGCACACAAAGCTGTCAAAAATACCTATCTAGACATAATGTATTGCACTCAACTTTAACTAGCCCTATCCAAATTAGACCAAAAAGAAGTCATTAAAAAGCTAGCCAAACCAGAATAACTGTACTCTAAGCAAAAATTAAAAAAATCAAGTACACAAGGTCAGTGTAAACATGTTCTTTAATATCACTGAAGATAAATTTAGAAATCCAAGTCTTAGGTGGGTTTCAAATAAATAATGATTTTGATTTAAGTGTTTACATATAAAGGGAGCTCAAAGCAGCAGTGCACTGTTTATAATTCCTCCCTGCTAACACATCCCCAACAAGAGAATGTACAGTAGGTAGTGCACACTGGAAAAAACAATCACAACATACAGCACACTTGCCATCTTTGATGAAACCACTGAGTATGATGTTGAAAAAGGGGGAGGCACACACTGCCCTTTAAAGCACTGCTATTTTCCCATAGCCTTTTTACCAGCATAATACAAATAAGGAGCCTGGGAATATAAGCCATCTTTCTGCATCCAAAATCCACTCTCAACTCAAAGATTAATACAGCAGTGCTCTGATACAGAAAAATTATTTATCAAACTGACATTGCAGCATAACATATCATCCCCAAACCAGCTGGCCTCTACTCAGGGAGAACTACTCTAATTTTAAAATTCCTCTCCAGTAGTTGCGGAGGTAATCCAGAAAGCTTAGACAGGTAAGAGCTGTTCTTTCATGTAGATCCTGGCCCAGTGTACTGAAAAGAACCAAGACATACGCCTCAAGAAGGTGTATGATTATCCAGTAAAATATCTGGTGTCCTATGTCACTCAAAACCTTCCAAAAGTAAAAATTCTTCCTCAAAGTGAAGATTTGCCTTTCTTAAACGACTCCAATTATTCTGCTGTAAAAATACACCCGATGTGAAATTTCTCACATCAAAACAAGATTTAACAATCCAGAAAGACCAACAAGAAAAGATCAATTATAAATATGCCACAAATATACTTGCAAAAGAGTTACTGTAAATTGTTTTCTTCTTTAAATTAGTTTCAAAATATTTTCTCTCTGCAGATAAAGGTAGGGCAGTCTTCCACTTTGTACTTTAGTTCAACATGCAGTTGATTGGTGATAAGCACTGCAGTACCCACCATAGAAGCACATCACCTACCATAGCATAAATTCCTCAACATAGTTAACCTGCTTCATTACTCTTTTCTCCATTTCTAATATACCTGGAAAAAGTTCTGCCTCTCTCTGCTATGAGTCAACAACAAAAAAACCCACTTACTATGTAATACTGCTGTGTACCTACTGAATTAATATTACAGGCTTAAAAGATTGTTTCAATTGCTAGCAACTTTGTCAAAACACGAATTGGGCTAACATAGTGTATACTTCACACATTGAGTAGGGGACGCTGCAATGTTTAACAGATACGAAACAAAATAAATCTTAGATTTCTAAAACTGTCAGTACACAGGATTCCCAAGTTGTTCTGAATACAGGAGCAGGGTAATCAATTTTCAAGGAAAGCCACATAGTCAGTCAATCTGGCCAACTGCTGTTCATTTGGAATTGGTGGAACCGGAGCAGGCTCTACAAAGACAAAACAAATGCATCATTAACAAAATTAAGAAAGCAAATCCATCCACAATACCATCCATCACAACAGTATGGAAAAAATTAAATGCATCAGACTGTTAAACAGTCTTATGGGGGAATACCTTAACTGCAAACCTATGCAGCTTTAGCTGACATTCCTTTTTTTAACTGCAACATTAAGTAGCAGCAAAGACAGCTGTAAGAAGTTCCAGTTGTGAGCAACCTCCATAGTTGTTGGGTTTTTTTGTTTGTTTTTTTTTTTGCAGATACTAGAGTTTGAATAATGAAGACTGACAGCACTACCACTTGACAAAAAACTTCCTGGAGCTCCTCAGTTGCTCCTTTCCTTACAAGTTGTCATACTGAAGATACCAAATAAACCTATTGGGTTATCTGACTAACAAAACACAGCAAAGTACTGCATGGGTTGCAGGAGAATGCAGTACACATGCAGATCCTTATATAAATGCCAGCTAACCTGAGATTACAGTTTAACTATAGGTTGGAAGGCAAGTGGCTAAAGCCAGGGAGATAAGTCAGGAATCAAGAATCAGAAATCAAAAAAAAGCAGGAAAATTTGCATTTACTCTTCCTGAATAGAGCCATATTCAGGATACAGTTAAAGTACATATACTGCTTAGGGCTGCAAGTATGTGATAGAGGAGGCTGCCAAACACAAGAATGTTTTCAAAAGCAAAACCCCAGCTCTTGAAATTGGCTTGGGATAAAACCTGTAAATTTAAGACACTTTTGGCAACTGTTACACACAGCAAGATACCAATTCAGATGTGCTGTCATTATCTTGTGAACAACAGACACCAGTGTTTCGAGAATCAGCATGACATAACATATTATATCTCAATCTATAGTTGAGCTCTGAGGAAAACCAAAGATGGCTTTCTTCTACAGGGAAGACTTCAGAAGTCCCACATCACACAAAAGCAATGAAACCTACTCAGAGTTGCTTTGTGAAGCAACTGCCCCTAAGTCAGGAGTTTTAGACAAAACGGTTTTGTTTTACAGGGACTGTCTGTCCCTGCTTTGGAATCTGCTCCCTACTTCAGCTATGGAAGTGGGAATCTCCAGCACTCCTTAAAATGCGAATAAAAGACGACAGGGGGAGAAACATGTTTATATAGCACCTGATTGAGGTGGGTTTTTTTGAGGGGAGAATGACAACATTCATTTCTCTAGGACCCAATTCCTATTTTGTGGTGCTGACGACATTGTGTTTACATTAATCACAGAAGTTGAGATATACACAAGGAGATTATATATAAACAGAAAGTACCTGATGAAGGAATAAATCTGTTAAACGAAGCTTCCAGCACACCTGAAGAAAAACACATAGAAGTTAACCCAGTGGACCAATTTTAAACAGTTCTATATAGCAAGCCAAAACCGGTTGAAAAGGTAATTGAAGTTAAACCTGTTCATTTCTCACATTTTAATTCATAGCTAAAAGCAGAATACCCAAAGTGTAGCTGGCTAAACATGCAGCTTCAAAATAGATTACAATCTCCTGCCTCTTTCTTCTGCCTCAACAAAACTTTTTCCACTAACTTTTGGAAAAGAGCCAGATGTAACTAGTTCCCAGTACTTGTAAGCACTGAGTATTTTGCAACCAGTTCATAAAAAATCCTGATCACATATACAAAAGCTCCGGGATCTGGTTGGTTATGCACCCCAAAGGATAAATTTCAACACCTTGCCTGGCACATGTTTATAACAAAGTTGTGGGCTCTGAACACTATAAATTCTGCCCATACAAACAGTATATTTTCTTAGCCTAATAGATGTTGCCCTTTTAGATATGCTGTAATTTGATTCCTTCATCCAGAGCTTCACTGTACAGTTTAAGAGCAGTCATTAATTCCTGCCTTCATACCTTAACATTTATTTTTGCCTAAGCCAGCCATAGATACAGCTTTAGCAAAAAAAAAAGCCAAGTATTTCTGCAGGCTGAGCTTTGCAGGAACAGATACTCTATTATCAACATCATGACAGTGAAGAAAAGATCCAGCAGAATAAATTTTAAAAAGCAAAGGAAATTATACCAACAACTAGAGCTCCTCAGAACACAAAGATCCATTAGATCCCCGCCCGAAGAAGTTCTACTACTTCTGAAAAAACTCTAAGGTTCAAAAAGGCATATTTTTTTACCCATCTTTACTAGATTAAGACATGTCATTTGAGGTCATCCAACTCATGTTCCAAAGCCAGCAGCAAAGGAAAAGCCGAAGAAATCACAGCATATCCTGTCTGCTTTTGTTTAAAAAAGTTAATTTGAGGATGTAGTTTAATCCAAATTACTTGTAACCCCAAACCAAACCCACTACTTTGTACTTCCTATATTTTATAATCATTCCATGTTTATAAGCAGCGTAAGTCCTCGAGAAACATCTAATATTGTGCAAAATTTTAATTAAAAAACTAACACCTAATTACTAGAAAATGCTAAACTCAATGTCTAATGAAATAACAGCTCCACCTACCTGGCTTTTTAGGCATTACCATACGAGTTGAAAAGTCTGCTTGCCAGCCCTGTTCTAATACACCTGAAAAAGCATTTTTACATTTGTAAGAACAAAGACCTTCTATGATTGCTAGAAATACAAAATAAAGATGCATATTAAGACTAGTAGAAAAGTATCTCAGTTCACTGCCTGTATGCTGTAACTCCAAGATATATTTCTTCTAAAAAATGCTTATATTTAGACACGTAGTTCAACAAATAACATCATGAAAGTAACAGCACGTGGAACTAGCTTCACCCACTACCTTCACTCTTCCCTCACCATTGAATTGCTTTAACATTTCTACCTATAGAAGGGGAGGACAACCAATGGTAACCAGTGGCAAACAATTTAAAAAAATCAAACACTTAGCCAGAGCCAAGACATTTTTCTCTATTCACTGCCCCATCACTTCTCTTTATAAGAGTCTCAGAATTTGTACACATATTTCTACTTGCAATCGCTTACAGCTCTCTGAACTCAATCATCTGTAGAAAAACTATTCAGTGAATAAAGCAAAGTACCTTTCACAGCTTCTTCTACAGGAAGCCCAACAAAAGCTGCAAGATCATCTGCAACTATTGAGGTATATGCCTGAGAAACCAGTCCAAAGGCTCGTCTCCTAGTTGCATCTAAGAAGAAATAAACACTGTAAGCAGACAGTAGGTTAACCTCCATAACTAGGAAACTTGAGAAAATTTTTCCAATTCTAACATGTTTGGAAATCCACTACCACCTTCAAATCTAGCACTTTAGAAATTCCCCCTTCCCACAATTCACTGAAGCAGCACAGTCAGCAGCTGGAGACAACAGCTTGCTCTACACCAGGACAAAACCCCTCAGAGATGATATTTAACTTCCAAATACAGTTTGCAGCATCTTGGGTACCACCACCACTATGTAAACCAGCCAAGGAAACTCTGCTTCTGATGACATGCTCCATTTGCAATAAGCTTCTCTGTCAAATAGTTCAGAATCAGAATTAAAAAATGAAAAAGCAATTAGTTAAACTATTTATGCCTTTTTCACCATGTCTGCTTTGATACTATGGCATCATTGAGCAACTGACATCATCTACCTGACTTGGGCAAAGCATTTAAGTCCTGCACAACATCCTTGTCTCTAAACAGGAGGGACATGAATTTGACAGATGGACCACTTGGTGGATAAGGAATTGGCTGGATGGTTGCGCTCAGAGAGTCACAGTCAATGGCCCAGTGTCCAAGCGGAGACCAGTGATGAGTGCTGTTCCTCGGGGTCAGTGTTCGGACCAGTGCTGTTTAACATCTTTGTCAGCAACATGGACAGTGGGATTGAGTGCACCCTCAGCAAGTTTGCCAACGACACCAAGCTGTGTGGTGCGGTCGACACGCTGGAGGGAAGGGAGGCCATCCATAGGGACCCTGACAGGCTAGAGAGGTGGGTATGTGCAAACCTCATGAGGTTCAACAAGGCCAAGTGCAAGGTCCTGCACCTGAGTCAGGGCAATGCCAAGCACAGATACAGGCTGGGGGATGAGCGGATCAAGAGCAGCCCTGCAGAAGAGGACTTGGGGGTGCTGGTGGATGAAAAAAGTGAGTATGACCCAGCAATGTGCACTTGCAGCCCAGAAAGCCAATTGCATCCTGGCCTGCATCAAGAGCAGAGTGGCCAGCAGGTCAAGGGAGGGGATTCTCCCCCTCTGCTCTGGTGAGATCCCACCAGAGTGGGGAGTGGTGAGTCCAGCTGGAATGCTGCGTCCAGCTCTGGGGCACCCAGCATAAGACAGACATTGACCTGCTTGAGCAGGTCCAGAGGAGGCCACAAAGATGATTAGAGGGCTGGAGTACCTTCCCTGTGAGGACAGAGTTGGGGCTGTTCAGCCTGGAGAAGAGAAGGCTCCGGGGAGACCTTAGAGCAGCTTTCCAGTGCTTAAAGGGGGCCTACAAGAAGGGTGGGGAGGGACTCTTTATCAGGGAGTGTAGTGATAGGATGAGGGGGAACGGTTTCAAACTGAAAGAAGGGAGACTTAGGTTAGATGTAAGGAGGAAATTTTGTATTGTGTGGCCCAGAGAAGCTGTGGCTGCCCCCTCCCTGGCAGGGTTCAAGGCCAGGCTGGATGGGGCTTTGAGCAACCTGGTCTAGTGGAAGGTGTCCCTGCCCATGGGGTTTGAAACTAGGTGATCTTTAAGGTCCCTTCCAACCCAAACCATTCTACAATTCTATGATCTAAAAATCAGTTGTTTCTGAAGCTACAGAATTTGTTATTCCAAAATACCTTGGAAGGCTTTTTAGCAGTTTGTACTGCCCTCTAGTAGCGTGACTTTGCATGTTACTCTTACACGGGTCTAAAACATTTGTCTAAAGCCACATTTAAAAGAAAAACCCTTTAATAATTGTCACAAGGTTCTGAAATGCCAAGTCAAGTTCCCTAGATTACTGGTTAAAAGTCTGATAAAACTGGATAACTAATGGTCTATTTTGCTATTACAGAATAACACACACAGTATATGAAATTCCATATGAAAGAATATATAATCACATACATAATCTTAATTAGACAATTTTGTTTGTTTCTACAAGTTTTTGTAATGAGCTTTTTATTTAAACCTGATACTTAAAATCCTTCAATAGCTAGAAGAACTCCGCAACAATCTTCCTGACCACTTCTCATTCTTCATAATAAATCATTTGTCTACTTGTCTATTTGTGTTTGAGCACACAGAAATAATTTAAGTAACACATAATTCCATGCTACCTACAGAAGTTCAATTTGTACCTCTAAGTGCTTCCATGATTGGTTGAATAGTCTCAGACCACTGATGTGCACTGATTGTTGTATAGATTCCTGGAAAGTCTCTCTGCCAGATTCTTTGTCCTACTGACCAAACTGCACCAAGTTCAGCATTTGCCTGTTGTGACAAAAAACCCAAACAGTCAATCCAGAACAATGTATTCTCTACAGTGACCATACTGTATAAACCCATTTCCACTCCCTTCCCTTTCTCATTGCAAGAGTATAAAGCAACACCTGTAAAGATGATCAGACAAGCATTGGGAAATCTTGTTCTAGCACGTATCACTTCTGCAAGCTCCCTGACCCATCCTCTGCCAAAAACTTTATCACCCACACAAGCAAAGTCTCCTCACATGCCAGTTATATCAATCCAGGCTGACATACTAGCTAAAACAATCATGGATAACCTGCACTCAGGTTACTGACCGGAGTTGCAAAAAGACAGGCACAGCTTATTTTCTGCTTAGAGAGATGCTCATGTCCTCAACAGAGGCTTTATAAAGTGCAGAGGCTATTTGCATAGTGAAGGCAATTTTCAATTTGGAAGTCTTGCAGCCTTGACAACGGGCCACACAAGATGGTGCCACACACCACAACTGCGCTCCCACTACTGGTTTTAACAGCTGCTTTTACTGCGACACACTGTCATTTGGTCAACTAGACTCCAGAACACCCTGTCAGAACAGCAGCCAAACACCAAACTGGGTAATAAAGCATTATTTTCAATTGTAAGGAGAACCAATTTGTTTCTGAAGTTAAGACTCACACTAATTATTACTTGGTTCAATTAGCAAAAGATTAATCAACACATACACATAAGAAAATACTACACTACCTTCCCAAAATAACTCATGCAGTAAGTTTACCCCACCAAGAATGATGCTTCACATAAAATGCAAGTTACACCAGAAACACAGATTATTCATAGAATATTGCTGTGCAACAAATACAGCAGGTTTCAGAGAAAGGTCAAGTAAAATTTGGTCCAGATCACTATTGATTCAAATGATAGAACTACTTTTTTCTTGAAGGAGAAAGAAAATTATTTCAGAACGACCCAACAGATCCCATCTTGACTATGAGGTTTCTTAGTAAGACTACAGAACACCTGTTTCACAGAATCACAGAGTGGCAGGGGTTGGAAAGGACCTCTGGAGACCATCTAGTCCAACCCCTCTGCTAAAGCAGGTTCACCCAAAAGCAGGTCACACAGGACTGCGTCCGGGCAGATTTTGAATATCCCCAGAGAAGGAGATTCCACAATTCATGACGCTTTCTACTAAAAAGTCTACAGATTTACTGAATTCTATTGCACCAGATTATTTGTGAAGGAAAAGAGGTAACAGATGAGCAATGAGGCCATCTTAAAGACCAATATGCCATCTGCTGGGCAGGCAGTTCACAGCACAGAACTGAGACGAAGGCTGCTCACAAACAGAACCACTGGGGGAGAAAAGTCATTATTTGCAAGCTTATATGAAACTGGTTTAGTATCATACAGAATTTTATGACGTACTTACAGATTTGATAGCAGGAGGGATTCTTTTCCAAAGATATCGCGCATTATTCCTAAAAAATAATTAAGTTAAAAGTACTTCTCAATAACCAAATGTTTGCTACAAGGAGAACTAAAAGGTTTGTTCAGATGTTACAATTAACAGTCTCAGTGCTTTAAAATATTCGTTCTATGGCTGCTGAAGCAGAAAAAACAAAGTTACTCCTAAGTAGAGAACTTAATTCTTTAACAGGCTCATTCCACACCAGTTTAGAAAAGGTTTTTCATTTCTCTGCCCTAGGCAGCATTTCACAGAAGTTTTGCAGTTTTATTTTTGGCGTAGCCACACCTTTGATGAACACATGTACAGAGAGTAACTTTTCCCAGCATCAGCAGTCATTTAGATCAGTGGTCTCCAAACTTTGATCATGCACTTCTAGAAGAAAAACATTTTTGTGCACACACCCCCAGTATGTGCAGACGTATTTCTAAGTTATATACATGTACTACTGTATTAATAGATTATGTACATTATAAAGCATACAAATACAGATGTTTAAAAGGATGAAAAACACCATTTAAAGATATTTTAATTTTACTTATTAATAGTACTAAAATACTTTCTTCATGTGCCCACACCCCACTTTCCATACCAAAGATCCACATTGTTTTGTGGATGTTCTTCCCAACCCAGCTTTGCCAGACATTCTGGAGATGTGGACATATTAAAACATTTAGACATTGATCTTTAGAGTACAGCAGTCAAACTGAAATCGTTAGAAGTTCTCAGAAAGATTTAAAACACAAAACAGAGGAAGAGACTCACTGCTTTTCATTAAAGCACAATTCTAAAACCTCAAATTCATTTGAACCAAGGTTATCTTCACTAAACCTAATACTCAGTATTGGAGCTGAGGGAATTTGCCCTGGCAGAATATACATCTACTATGCAAGGAAAGACTCAAATCTTCAAATTCCCACACCAATGCTTACTTTGGCTTGATAATCAAACATAGCAGTGTCATTTATTCTGCCTAAATAAACAATCAGCAATTTCTCAATAAGTCCCTAGACACTGCAAATGAAGTTCACACAGGGACATGGTAATAATCCACCAGACCAAATCCAAAGGATTACTGCTTTGTGCAGATTTAGCTCATTTAAGTCAACAGTATTCCTCATTTTTAAACAGAGTCATCCTGCTGTAATTTAAACACAAGGAGCAGCATGCAATCTTACTCAAAACAAATGCAACCTCGAAAAGCCACAAATCAAAACACTGAAGTGTTCAACACTTTCCAAAGGAGTGAACATCACCATTTTCTTCCTAAAGTCTGCCTGCTTCCCCACAGTTCAAAAGGGTGGGCAAGAGCAAGCAAAGGAGAATAATTTTCCTGACAAAGCAAGGGGTGAAGTAGACTTACTTCCATGAATATTTTTTCTTTTAAAAACATAGCACTGCCTACATGCATTTTGTTAGTCACACAACCAATTACCAACATTCTGGCAACTGCAGCTCAAGCTAAGAGTGACAAATTCCGCACCTGAAGTTAAAGATTAAGACAAGCCACTTACATATCATTATGCAACAGGTATAAAGCTAAAAGTTGGCCATAAACAAGGGGTGTTGCTATTCCTCCAGGGGCCTAAAAAAAAGTACAAATAATTTGGTTACATATTTTAAGAGCAGTATCTTACAAAATACAGCAGGAAGCCAAGCCTAATGAAAACTGAACACTCCAAGATAATCTTTTTTTAGCATCACATAACAGATCTGGACAAACTGTCAGAGTTGCTATGTTGTACCAAGGCAGTTGTATCTTACAATAAAGTTAACTTGCACATGCCAGAAGTTCTACTCAGAAAACTTACATTTGTTTTGCTTCATGAATGAAGTAAGGTTACATCTTTCATTACTCCAATGTTCTAGCTTATGCTCAATATCTTGCTTTGCAGTCCCTCATAAACAGCTGTTCTTAGGCACTCATGATTTCATTTATCTTGAGCTGAACTTCAGTTCAATTCAGGGCACTCCAGAGTAAAGCTGCTTTGCTCACTGGAACTGCCCTTCTTAAAAAGCCAAACTAAGGTTTGACACTCACCTCACTTCAGCAGACTTCACAAAACGTACAAGCAGCAAAAAAACCAAAACAAATTACAATAAAGTTATAAAATTTGGAAAGTCTACTATCATTTAAGATGAAAAGATTTCCAATAAGGTTTTAGCAGTTTATCAAAGGATGGTGCAGAAAGCACTCACAGGAAGCTACTTATGCAGCTATTTGATTTAATTACATGTGTGATTTATAGGCTCATCTAAGCCAAAAGCAGGTGATTAGCTGTGTTGTTGAGCAGATCATTGTCCCCAGCCATTCTTACACTGTTCCCAGGGCTCATCATCTACATAAAAATACAACAGTTTCTGCAACTGTTCCTTGGATTATGCCCAGTAAAACACCAAGTCAATTAATGCCACCTGTTTGAACTGTGTCAGTTCACTTTTGGTGTTTCTCTGTACTAAAAAGAAAATTCATTAGTTTCTCTGCCAGAAGACTAGTGGAACAGAAGGGAAAGCTAACTACCACCAAAACAAGTAGATTTACAATCTGCAATCTTACTGAAGGAAGCTCTGTGGCTACATCTATCCTGCAAAAACAAAACAAAACAAAAACCAGCTTACATACCAACTCATGATCTGAAACATAAAGGCTGTCAGCAGAGATTAGTGTTTCCACAAGAATCTTGATGTGGATGCAGACATGCACAGCAAATAACTTACTAGCTCTATCAATACATTTGGGAACAGTTTGCCAGGGTGCATCTGTTGCCATTTACTGTAGGGACTCTGCTGATAGATACAGTAAATCTTGAGCAGCGCACAGTCTAAGTTCAGTGGCTTTGTAACAGCTCCAAGGACCCATCGAGGTACAACACCACAGGCTCTGCAGCAGGAAAGTGAGGAGGATATGTTAAACTGCCTCAGATGGCTGCAGAAACAAAGCCTGCTGGGCTCCGTTGCTGACACTAAGAACTCAGCCTGGCACAACCCTCCCACCACAGGGACCAAAAAGGCAGCCAAAGCCATCACAAGTCCAGTTCAGACAGATTGCCCAGCAGGAAGGAGTAACCACACTCAACTCTCCCACGTGGTACAGGGGCACTCTTCTGCTTCTCTATGCTCACGCACCCACCACTTGAAGCAGGTTGCTCATATTTCCAGCACAACAAACTCCCTCCAGCTCCATAACACTCTTCTACAGAACTCAGGGCATAGCAAAAAGATGCAGCACCATGCTGAGAACATGAGAGGCACCTGGGCTCAGCACAGAAATAGTGCACAGAAACATCAACTGAAGCTTGATGATGCACACTCATAAGTAGGGACCCCTTCCATTTAAGGATTATATTTGCTACTGCAAAGCTGTGTGGTTTGTCAACAAAGTTCTGCTGTGGCACATGATCGCATATGGGATCCATTCTCCCCCTTCAATTGCAAGGGTAGCAAGATCTAAAAATCAGAATTACTAAAAAGTGCATGAAAGGAAAATTCAAAATTTTCCAGTCTTTCAAGTGGCTACAGTGAGATGTGTGAGCATCACATCTGAAAAAGTACCGGAAATTCTGCAACATGACAGAGGGTCTATGGACATCACCCAGGAAGAGCTTTTAGCCTTAACGTGGTGCCACTTGGATTTATCACAGACTGCAGTCTGGTACACTAACAGTACACACAGACTTGAAAACTCATCAAGCAACAGAATTTAAAGCAGCACAGAGGAAGCTTACAGTGTGAGCTACCATAATAACTGCATACTGATCTAAGCATAATTCTTCACGCCTGGTTCACTGCTCCACTTTCCTTTTCAGTATCTTCTTTTTCTCAATCATGCGAAACACACAGATACGTATGAACCTCTCACTCGCACACATCCCCTCCGAAAAGACCCAAATAATTACACTCAAATGTACCCATTTGCCTGCAGCTTGCTAGTTTCTAAAACGCTTTTTTGGCGGGCTTTTGCACAAGCGGCAAGTTTAAACAGTGAACCCTCACCAACACACACGGAGACGGAAAGCCATGAACACACACACACACCCGCCGCGCAGGACCAGGTCGGACTCTCAGAACAGCGCCTCCAGACAAAAGCCCGCATTTACCGAGACCGGCGCTACTGTTGTCTCTAACCCACACCGCCACAAACACCCGTGCCCCCAGCCACCACCGCCGCGGACCGGCATTGAGCCCCGAAGCCCCGCCAGGGCAACACGGGGCTGAGCCAGGGCCCCGGCGCCCCCGGGGCCGCCCCAGCAGCGCGCCCCCCGCCCCGTGGCACCTCAAGCTCCTGGGTCTCGCACTGCTCCAGGAGCTTCTTGAAGCTGAAGGAGTTCTCTGCCATCACCGCCACGGGCATCTTCCCCTCAAGGCGCCCCGCCGCCAGCCAGAACCGCCTCCCCTCAGGAGGCGGCCGCGCCTTGCCCTCACTTCCGTCGCGAGCAGTACGCACTTCCGCCCGTTGCGTAAGACACGCAAGGCGCTCTAGCCGCTCTTTTTTATGCTCTGGAGGACTGCTGGGGGGCGGGGATCCAGAGCGGCCTACCCAGGAGAGGCGTGGCCAATGCCTGGGGGCGTGGCCAAGTGTGGCGGGGTCGGGGTTGCGAGGGCCGCGCGCCGGGGCTGGAGGTGGTGCGGGGCGGCTCGTGCGTCAGAGCCGCATATTTTAAGGAACAAGTAGATTATCCCTTTTTACCCCCCGTTATTTCATTATTTCCCTGTTTGTGTGCAATACACGGATTTATGTTTCATTTTTTATTTGTGCATTTCGCACACTATGTGGTATACAAGATAATACACCCCACACCCGTTATTACACATCACGTATACATCTCTATGTGTACATACATCTCCTGTCAAATAGCATATACGCCGAAACAGCGCACGCTGTGCTAAAACGGCAGATAACAGCAGATATGCTATTTTACAGGTAAGACCACCTCACTGCCACAGCCCTGCCGTGGCTCTGGGGACCCCTCAGTCCTGTCTGCCTTTCCCCAGAATTGGGCTGAGGAGCCCTGCTGATGACTTCACAGGGTTAGGTTTTTTTCACTTATTTGTGCCTGAAGGCTGGGGTTTGAACATGTTTGCAGCCCCAGTTTGAGGCATGTGAATCAGTGGAAAATGGCAGGATTGTCACTAGATCTTTGCAATTACTGGGGCCACAGATGGAAACTCTTATTTTTTAAGGTAAAATTAACCTGTGGGGCCTCTTTTTCTGCAAACCTTTGCTTTTCAATACAAGGAATTTGCTTTCCACCGTCATCCGCAGCCCCATATCCCTTGAACAAAGCCTGACCCCAGTTCTCCCCCACCACCTTTCATCCCCAGCGCCATTCTAAACGCCAACACTAAACCCCATTCATTCTTCGTATTCAGCCAGAGACCTCTCTAGCCCTTAACAAGAGACTTTCCCCCAGACATGCTCAAAAGCTGCACTACCTCAATGCAAAATTAGGGTGCCTTGTGCAAGCCTGACCCAGCTGCAGCAGGGTGGTCCAGAAGTGTTCCCCGCAATTTTGAAAAAAGGAAACGATGGGGATGCTCAGCCTTTTGATGCTTCAGCATTAAGGAAGGCTGGCATAAAGGCTGAGCCCTTTGCCAGCGAGTTTCCGTGCTCCAGGAGAGGTCTTGACTGTGTAAAAATAAAAATAATGTATGTTTGTGTTCACTTTGGGATTTGCCCAGAGGAGAACATCTTGGCAGAGGGCTCCAGGTGATGGCACTGCTGCTCCGCTGGCTCAGGCTTCGCTTTTCCCAGCAACCAGCCTCGCATCCTGCTCCCGTCCCCGACGGCCACATCGATCCTTACAGCTTTTTGTTGCCCCCAGCTCTGTGCAGGCATCGCTTTGACATTTGGACATCTGAGAGGAACATTGTCCTCACCTTTTGCTCCCATTCCCAATTATCTTGTGTTTTTCAGGAGGTGACTGAGGGAGCAAAGCAGCTGGCATCTTGTGATGGTGCCAGCGGGAGAACTTCCCTTAGCACCGGCAGGGCTGGGGTCAGAGCATCCTGGATTGCCACCATGGAGCACAAGGGTTTGGGAAGGCTTCATCTTGTGGTGGGACATCACAGACTTGCAATGCTCCATCCCAATGCGATCCTTCTTCCTGGTGCCAGGTGGGAAGGCACAAGCTGGTCCCTGGCACTGCTGGCCGTACTGGGCCTGGGCAGAACCGCAGCCTCTGTGTGTGCTCCTTCTCTCTGCAGGGCAATCATTTCATTTTGGGGAAATAAAAAACAACAGTAAAAATGGAGCAGATGAGCGGTTTCCACGAGAGGGCACTAGCTGCAAGAAACACTGCCTAAAAAGTCCAAGGAAACTTGAGCGGGGCCCTTGGCCACCTCCAAACATCCCACTGTTTCTTCCACATGAGAAACTCTTTCTGTTTTGAGGCAGTTAGGCTTTTTTTTCTATCTCTTTTTGCAGGATTTCATTAAGCTTTTGGGACAACAAAGGAAGTGTTGCTTTCCAGTTTGGTTAGCTGAGTCTCCCAAAGCCACCAGGACCTCTCTGGAAGCAATACCTCGGTCTGGGGGCAGCCGGAAAAGTGGTTTCCTCTCTCTTTTTTTATTCTTCTCTCCATCCCTCTCTGCTCGCCTTTCTTTAACACCCCAGGGGACATCTCCCCCTGAGCCCGAGGGTGCTGTGCTCACCATGCTTCATGCACACTCCAGCTCGGCCAGCTTGATGCATCAAGCCAATCACCGTGGGGTCTCCTACCAATGCCAAAAAATCCCTCTGCTGATTGGAACTTGCTCTGTGCCACCAATTTCAGTGCCCCGCCTTGGATTACCATGATATTTTGTTTCCTCCATGTGCATGAGCTGCAAACCCTCTGGTTGCAAGAGCTGGGGATGCTGCCAGAGCAGCTTGGCAGGGTCTTCAGACCCCTTCCTTGCCTCATAAGCAAAGAGGAAATTAAGCATCATGGCTATGAGGTCAACCCTTCAAGCAAGAGGCTCTAACGGCCTGCCTTGCCTTCCTGTCTTGAGCAAGAGCAATTTCCACACCATCACCAACAGTTTCGCTCAGCCCAGGGGCAGAGGTTGGTTGCAGAGGGCTTTAACTGGCATCTTGGTGGTGGGCCAGGAGGTGATGTCTGCCGGGGATGTCCAAAGAGCCCACATATTTGCTTCAGGAGGGGCTGGGGCTGGTTAATAGAGGAGCACAGCCCTGGGTCCCCAGCCAGCGCAAGGTGAGGTGGCACAGCCATACCTGGAGATGTGTCACCAGGGGGTTGGTTTCAGCATTAGGAATTAATTTAATTAAGAAAATTTTCACCATGGAGGTTTGCATTTTGGTCACAGGCCAAGAAGTCTGAGTGTATTTGACTTCTGACAAATTAAGAGGAAAGACTCAACTCACAAAAAAACCAGCCCTTTGCAAAGAAGGAAACTCCTGGGTACCTGGGCAATCTGTGGGTGCTCACTCCCACAGAGATCAGCTCCCCATCCCATCCCAAAGACAGCGTGGAGCCACTCAGTCTGTCCCACGTGCGACCCCTTTGCGCAGATTTGCAAAGCCCGAAGTATGGCAGGCTTCAGGACCAGAAAGTGTACATAAAAACACTACAGAGCACCCTGACAGCATCGCATCACTCTCTTTAAGTAATTTTCCTGCAGATAAAAGTACAGCCCTTTGCAAGCAGAAATCATCAAGGCACAGGACTCAGGCCGATGTCCCATTGTCCTGCCGGCACTGGTTTTATCCCATAGAGAAGAGCTTCTGTTTAAGTGAAAAGTTTCTTTAAAAATAACGAATTCAGCTCAAACTTGCCCTTTTGCATCCACATGCTGCAACCTCCCTCTCTCTTTTTCCACTTTTCCAAAGCTGTTTAAGACTGTGATGACATTTTCAGGGAGGAAACATGCTAGAAGGGAATATGCTTCTTTTTGCATGCTTTCTGCTTTTTGCATCACCAAAATAAAATTCCGGGATTATTTTAAATCTGGGAGGTTTGGGTGCTGTTCCTGGGGTTGCCTGGAGCCTGTGCAACATAAGCATGGCCACATTATGGTGGCACCATCCAGCACCTCTGGACAATGACTGAGACCAGCCGAGCTAGCATCTTCACTTCAGACACTAAAAGAAGAGCCCAGACTCAGAAAACAGCTGAGCACACTGGAAATTCTGTCCTGCTGGCAAAGCCGTCCAGGTTAAGTAATGGCAAAACTCCTTGACTTGAAAAGTTCCTCATTTTTCTTTGGCCCACAGGCTTGAAAAGCACTTTAAGACGTGGCCGCCAGCTGTTGCAGAAGTGTAAATTTAATGTGATTTTTATATAGCTCCCAGCAGCAATGGCATGAAAATCTCAGCAACTTCTTTGTGCCTTGAATGAATTTTAATATGGTGACAGAAGTGGATGCCAGTTCTGCTGTCCTGGACAGTCCCAATGAGTCATCGGTTGTTTTCAAAGTAATACCAAGGCATTTCCAAGAAAGATTAGCAGAGATGTTGTGACAAGACTTGATTTTCCCAGTTGTTTCCATGTGCTGCCTGTGATCTGGAGGTACTCTCTGGAAAGATGATTGCAAGAGGTTTCCCTTTCTCATCTGCTTCAAAAGCTTTGCAGGGGAACAAAAAAATCATGATGGGGAACAGAAGATGTAACACAGTGATATGGAACAATAGGAAAGTTAATGTAATGTGAAAGTTAAAGAAAACGGTGGTAAAGGGTCAAGTTGAATCTCTCCACACCCTTCCCAATCCCCTCAGTACCCTGATTCATATTAGCTCTGCCTCATCGGAGCAAAGGCTGTATCTAAATACATCATTTCCTTCCATGACATCAAAGCTCATTTTACACCAGCCATCAAAGGGGAAAAATGCCTCATTTTTAAGAGCTGCGCCCAGCAGAAAGGAAATGGTGAGCGGTGGATAGGAAATTATAATTTCTTTTTCCCAAACAATTTCTTCTTTTATTGTTTTATTTTGATAGGAGCATTTTTTTCAACTCCAATAAACAAGAAGCTCTTTAGGATTTTTTTTTTTTTTTTTCCTTCTTCATCCTTTTTTCATCAACTCCAGCTTGAGGTCTCAGTTATACAGGTTCTTACTACAGCATGGTAGTATAACTAAAAGAAAATCCCTAAATCAGGGAAGCTGGGGAGTTTAGAGGATGTGTAGGAGACCGGTGGTCATGGCAAAGTGACCGATGTGGTATAAAGTGCTGCAGGTTATCCACCCAGCTGTCCATGCCTATTGGGCTCTGTGTTCTTCTGCTGCCACTCCAGAGCAAATCTCCCCCCAAGCTGACATTTAGGGGTCGGCTAAGCCCCTTTCTGCCCACCCTGAACACCTCCATCCACCTCCTCTTGTTTTTCCCAGGAATAAGCAAAGGCAATGGCTTGTGCCAGCAGCTCTGGAGGCAAAGATTGC